ACTGAGTGTGACCCAGCAGTCTGAGCTCTTAGCACCATGAATGAATGAATTTTCAATGATAAACTTCTTCTGCTCCATCTGCACTCTCTCTGATTCTCTCACCACTCCTCTCATTCTTCTCTCTCTCTCTCTCTGTTCCAGGTTAAAGAGTCTGTTCTATCGCTCCAGTAACTTGCAGTATTTCAAGAGGCTGATTCAGATCCCACAGTTGCCTGAGGTGAGGACGGCCATCCCTAATTCTCAAATTTAACCTCATCTAAGCTCCGAGTCGAGCCATGCCAGATTCTGTTTTACAATTGAAATCATTTCTAAACAGAATGCTCTGATAGCTTTTTACACTCGGGCTGTTTATAATCTTTGTTCATTGGAGCTCAGATTTCCTTTACTCTTATTCACATATGTCTGTTGTTTTTATACCAACTCTTCATCTTTTATGCATCCTCTGTTTTACTGATGTGCTGTCACAATATACACCGTGTTTGTATGATAGAAATGAAAATGAGAAAAAAGACTTCTTACACTGCTCACACACTGGGCTAAACTTACTCACATTTATGTGAGGGCGTAACTCATATCCACTGCCAACATTAAGTGATTTAGCAATGACAAACACATTAATTATAAATCATTGAGCTGCTTGATCCTGATCTTAATATTCAAATGACAATTTTTTCCACATGTTTTGTGCTTTGTATGCACCTTCATAAACGAAAGAACAGCCAATTTAATGCTTTTATCTTCCTTTTAGCATCTCATCCTCCTGCACACACAGAATCTCTCTCAGATGTGCTGTTTACTTTTTTTTTTTTACATTTTATGTATAAAAAACAAGTTTGAAATAAGTACAGGGGGGATAAATACTGTACAACAAAGTATAAGAGGACACTGAGCATTTGAAGAACAAATCATTATACACATTTATGTTTGCTGATATGACAACTCATATTTTACAGAATAACGTAATAATCGAAAAAATATGCATGTATAGATACTGACATCTTGGGAATCATTGCCATTCTTTTTAAGTGTATGTATTGGCTGATATATCGATATCAGAAATGTTTTACTTACTGACCTTGTGTACCTTCCTGTTTAACTAACTGCCTGTTGATTTATGCTGAGTTAGTCTTGGCTGGTTTTTATGACTCTGTGTCTGTTATTATTCCTTGTTTGTAATGATTCTTATGATTTTTTTATGATTTTCTGGCTCAGCAATAGACAAGCAACAAGCAAACAATTCTCTACTTTGACAATACATTTATATTATAATCTATTCTAATATCAGTGTCAGCATCAACCCCCCAAAAATCAAAACTGTTGATTTCCAGTTTTAATCCCTGTCAAACATAGGCCGCATATATTGACATAATTTACATCTAATTCAAAAAATTAAATGCAACAGTTTTTTGTGTTGTTCACACTGATCACACATTTTTGCATATTGCTAGCCATTCTGTGATACAATGGATAAAGTGAAACATTTGACAATACTGATCAGACTCTCTGCTCCTTGCAGAACCCTCCCAACTTCCTGCGTGCGTCAGCTCTGTCGGAGCACATCAGCCCCGTGGTCGTTATCCCCGCTGAGTCATCATCCCCCGAGTCAGAGCACATGGTGGAGACTGACGATCTGGTGGACACAGATGTCCCCTCACTGCCGGTAAGTACATAAGACGAGTGTCCCCGAGTGGTGTCATCTTTAACGCTGTGCATCTCGTCTTGTTATGATCAACCATCAAAAATTGAAAACTGAAAAACTGAAATTCCCTCAATGAAAAAATCATCTCTAGACACAAACGGGGAAAGAGGATGAGATAAAGCAGGAAATAACCTGCTTCAATGATTAACTCTCACATGAAACCACATATTTCTCAGATTATTGGTAAAACTACTCTAAACATCTGGTTTGTATTTGTACTGGCATGTCATCATATTTATTATATTGACTTCCAAATAGCTGAATTTTGAAGTGAACTCAGGGAAAAACAACAAATATGTTTGTCTTCTTATGATACTTGATATAATGAAGTTATAATGAGATCCAAATTCAATCCACAATCCAGCTGCAGAACACCTGGATCACAGACTGAGCCTGAGCAGTTTTGTTGTTATGGATATTAAATGTTGTTTTTAGCTGCAAATCCAAACTCGTCCTGCTTTATAGAAGTTAATAAACTGCGTAATTACAGTGAAGAACAATGTAAATCAGACTAATTATCCAGGCTACATAATTAAAGCTCAGCCAACAATGAAATGGTACCAATGTGATTTTTATAAACATATTTTCATGTTTTCCTTTGATATTCTTATTTTAAACCTTCAGGCTGCCGTGGAGACAAAGTTTGACGACTTGTTTGGCACCTCGGCGGCTATAGACCCGTTTAACTTCAACAGTCAGAACGGGATGCGCAAAGACGACAAGTAAGTTCTCTACAACATCATTTGAAGGTTATTTAACTGCCATGGTGATATGTGAATCTACAAGAAGCAAAATAACTCAATAAAAGTATTGCACTATAACTAAATTATTAAAAAAACTATTAAGAAATGTCACATTTAAACGAAAGCCCTGTTCGTGATCAGACTCAGGTCACTCAGTACACCAGTTAAAAAAAACCAAATGCTATTGAATATATTATCTTGGATCTTTTATTTGATCAACTGTAAAAGTTAGTAAAGAATATGAGCCAAACATAAAACTGATGATGAGTCACCATTGATAATACAGTTTGTCGAATCAGCTGTCTACTTAAGTATTGGATCCATTAGAGATATGTTGTCTGTGTCCATCAGAGATCGTTTGATTGAACAGCTGACGAGGGAGATCCAGGCCCTCAAAGACGAGCTGGAGTCTTTCAGAGTGGAGGTGAAGAATCGAAGAACCATCTTTTCTTTTTACACCTTGCTGCACCACAAAACACCACACAGAGTCTGCAGAAGTGAATCATCTCTTCTCCATCTTCACCTCTGACTCTCTTTTCCTTCCGTCTCCAGAGCGGTCGGTTGTGTCAGGTGCTGAGGGGGCGTGTCAGTGAGCTGGAGGCGGAGCTGGCCGAGCAGAGCCATCTGAGGCTGCAGGCTCTGGGGGAGAGCGAGTTCCTGAAGGCCGAGCTGGACGACCTGAGGAGGGTCAGAGAGGACACGGAGAAGGAGCAGCGAAGCCTGACGGAGATAGAGAGTATGCAGTTTCCTGTTCTTCACTTTGCCTTTTGTCTCAAAATCCTAACTCTAACTAGTGCTATATTACAGAGGAGCTTGTTTCACAATGGACGCTCATACAGAGAAGGGGCGTTATTTAAATGTCTTTGGACAAACAAGCGCATCTAACTTTTTTCTCTTGGATATATGGAGCAAGAAATTGCTACGGTGCTGAAAAGTGTTGACTGAAGATATTAAAAAGTTGTGGCAAACGTGGTTGCTAATCTTATTGTAGTGAGGAAAACCCACTTTGGAAAGATATGTGTTTCATCGTCTGCCTGAACACACTTAAAAACAGAGTCAAATATTAGAGAAATTCTTTGATCAAAATGAGACCAGGAAAGGTAGGGGTTTAAAAACACTTTAAAGGTTGAATAAAAAAATTCTAAATTAGACTACTATAAAAACTACTATTAGAGAAATCTAATAGTTAAAAAAAAAACTAAAACAAACCACCAAAGATGATTTATCTGCAATTTCCTCACACGCTGAAGTCATTCACTGTCTGATGATGATGACGATGACGATGATGATGATGATGATGCTTCCTCAGCAGATAATCGTGTTGTCTCTCTGTCTCACCAGGAAAAGCTCAGGCCAACGAGCAACGCTACACCAAACTGAAGGAGAAGTACACAGAGCTGGTTCAGAGTCATGCAGACCTGTTGAGGAAGGTGAGAAAGATACCTGACTTACTCCTGATTCTTAAAACCTTGAGCTCCCAAGTTAGAGTAAAGGAGACATATGCTCATATTCAGGTTTACATGCTCTAATGTTCAGAAAACACTTTCCTCACACATCACTGCAGCTCCTCTTTTCAGCCTCTGTCTGAAATACTTCATACCTGCCTTTGTTAGGGGGCGTGTCCATTTAGCCACGAAGCGTGCATAATGAAAATGTAACAATGCATTAGTATGACACATGACAAGTTGTCCAGAGGTATCAGCCGGACTACTGATGAGAAACAGGAACTTTTAAACTTTGCACGAATAATAAATAAAACACTAGAGAAAAGAAAAAGTAAAAAAGCATCATATGTCTCCTTTAAGTGCTCTCTTCTTAGTGTCCTTTTTATTTGTGTGTGTGTGTAGAACGCAGAAGTGACCCGGCAGATGACGGTGGCTCAGACGGCACAGGATGAGGTGGAGGTGGTGAGAAAAGAGATGCAGGAGAAGGTGAAAGCAGCTCAGGAGTCTGCAGACAGACAGGTGAGGATCATGTCCTTATCACTGACAAACATTAAAAGTAATTTATCCCTGAGCTTTCTGCAGCCAAATGATTACAATGATCAGAACAGAGCTGTGGAGAAGGACTCCAACCTTGTTATTGTAGGGTGCATGTATACAGAGGTGTGATTGACAGATTGACTCGATCAACACAGACTAATGACAATTCCTCAAAGTTTTCTTATTATGTGTCCTGACATATTTTAAATCAGTGTTTTCAACCTGAGCTGATGTGATCTGTCTGAAGTGAGATCTTGACATGTCTTTGCTCAGGAGAAGAACCAGCTGGAGCAGCTCCTGGAGCTCCAGAGGGAGCTGGTGTCCAGCCGCACGGAGCTGGACTCCCTGAAGACCACCATGGCCTCTACGCAACAGGTCACTCTCCTCTCACATTTCTTACTCAAGAAAGGCTTCAGCCACACTACTAGGTTTTCTTTTTAAATCGGCATACTGTTGGTACGTTTACGCCGGCTGTCCACTATTCTGCAATGAGCGCCTAAAAGTTTGGAGACGCTGCTGAACCCATTTTAATTTATAAACTCCTCAAGTGCGATGTAGTATGGACGGGCAAAACCGATAACTTGTCATCAGTCACAACGTAACTACCTCATCGTTTATAGTATTTTCTGTAACCAACTGCTTCCTGTTTACACCGACACACACATGCCAAGTGTAAGTGATTGGTCCAGAGTGGTCATGTGATATCAGTTGTGTTAGAATGGGCAGAGTTTATTACTGACAGAGCTAAAAATGTTTGTGTGGACAGAGATGGTTTTATATGGAAACATATTTGTGTACATGTAGCGTACATCTGCTAACTAAACCCTTTGAAAAGTTACCAAACTAATTTTCAATATCCTGTCCCACTGAAAACAAACTGAAATGAAATGCTGTACCTTAGGCACAGACCTGGATAATCCTAATGGATTACAGTCTGAATAAAATCCAACAGGCTGGCACTCGTTTCCTAATTGATGTTCTCATTTTGAAGCATTAGTCACCACATGAATCAGTCGTACCTGGGATCTGTTTTCAGGATCGTTTTTTATAACTTCTTTGACATGAGAGTAGATACTGAAGCCCAAACTGCCCATGACTGTATGAATGGTGAGGGGGAAAAGTGCTGCATATATTAGCACTGTTTACATGGGTGTGAATGAGTGAATTTCTCGCCCACACTCACTGATTGATTGTGAACATAGACTGTATAAGAGTATCACGTTGATGTTTAGTTATAGAAAATATTACAAACAAGGAACAACAATGGTGAAGAATAAGATCAGGGACAGTACGTGTTTACGACGTCATCGCTGGTGGTCGAGTTGTGTCTGAAAAGAACCAATCAGGAAGCGAATGCAGGTGATCATCATTGCGTCATTATTGAATAGTGATGAATTTTTGAAACATAGTAGTGTGGATGTAGCCTTAGTTTGGTCAATGTACCATCCATTAACATGGAGGATGCATGATGTATGACCTATACTGCAGCCAGTCACCAGGGGGCGATCCAGGCACTTTGGTGTCACGTTTTGGGAGCTGTCATGTCTCCATCTTCAATTCAGTCTGTGATTGTGACTGCCTCTGCCCCTCATTTCTTCTCTCTGTGCACACCTCCCTCTCTCTCACTCAGCCTCCCGCTACTGTCGTCCTACTTTCATATGTGCTTCTCATCGACTTTTCCTGTCCTCCTCCATCTCATTGAATCTCAATAGCTCATTTTTCTCACACACCAGCCCACGTTCTATCGCTCCTGTCTCCAGCGTCCAGCTCTCACCAGCTCTTATCATTAAAAAAAAATTGCTTTTCTGAACAATTCTCGTTTCTCGTTTTATCTCTTGACTTCTCTCCCTCCGTCTGTGTGGGATATGCTGGCGTCCAGACTGTAAGTCTCTCACCTGTTCTTCATGCACACACCTCATGACCTCTTCTGACAACACAATGATCATAAACAGTCTAAATATTTCATTTCACAATCCCAGAGTGCACAGGATGTGATGCAACCTCTTTCTTTGTCGTAATGAACGATTGCTACATTACAGCCGAGCTGTGTAACCACAACTTCCCAGAGTTCCTTTGATTGTAAACCCAACCGTCTCTGGAGACTCTCCGCAAATTGAAATGGAGACAATGTTGTTGTAATCACTGCCTGCAGATAAAATGTTTTCTATTGTGAGGTCAGAGCACTCGCAGCAAAACCACTTCCTGACATGTCCTGACAGCAGCATATTATCTTAACCATGTCCTGCTGTCTGTTCATTGTCTTCCGACACCATCCGAACTTTGTCACGCTCCTCATTTCTTTATCCCTCCATCTTTTATGTCCTCCGTGCAGTCGAGCGAGGCGCTCAGCACGCAGCTGGCCACCCTGCAGTCGGAGAAGGCCGAGCTGGTGCAGTCCCTGTCGAAGGTGGAGGTGGAGCTGGTGGCCCAGGGAGAGGAGCTAGAGCGAGTCCAGAGTTCGCTGGCGACAGAGAGGGAGAGCGGGGTGAAGACAGCGGAGGCCCTGCAGAATCAGCTAAATGAGAAGGTGAAGAATTTGAACTCTTTTAACTAGCTGCAATCAATCACACAGATAGAAGTGACAGAACCACTAAGATCCAGTGTGTCCAATTAATAGTTCTTTTACACACAGACCCTCCAGCATTTTTAATAAATGTGTTTGCATCCACAGGAGAGCCGGGAGCAGGCGCTGGAGAGTCAGCTGGTCGCAGCTCGCTGGTCAAGTCTGCAGGGAGCTGTGGAGGAGGCGGAGAAAATCATCCAGGACTCGCTGGCTCAGATTCAAGACCCGGCACACATCAGCTGCACCAGCTCTGCAGGTCAGGAGCTTTAATTCTACAACAACAGAGATCCATGGAGCTCATAGTCATTAAAGGAACACTAATTAGCAGTGTGTGTAGAAAGGTCTGTGTGCATGCTTTCATGTTTATCTCTTAGCTCGTGTTGTAATGCATCCTGTCTGTTTGTGTTTCTCTGTGCAGATTATCTAGCATCCAGATGTCAGGCCTCTTTAGAGTGCATGGATCGACTCCATTCTGCCAGCGGGGCCTTCACAGCAGACAACACAGGTGAGTTTAGCTTTTTCAGGGACACATATTTTATTAAACATTTAGAATAGCTCATAATTCGCTTTTTATTTGCCTTTGAGCCTTTATTTAGTTTATTTTGCTATAAAACCAAAGATCATGATGTCACCAAACCCATTTATAAACATAATGATGCAAACTGTCCTGATCAGGTATAGACTGAACACAAAGATGACCACTCCCCAAAACTGAAACCAAAGCGTCCCAGTCGCCTCCTGGTGGCTGGATGCGTTACGTTGATGCTATTAAATCATAGTGAGATATCACGATTGACACCTGAGACTGACCTGTGGTTGGTGGAGCATGTGCATTGCTACCGTGACAAAATGGCAGCGTTCTAATCCGAGATGTTTGGGCTTCATTTCTAGACTGTGAGAGGAAGAGCAGACGTCAATCTTCATGTAAATTCTATGTTTGCACCAAAGAAGCTATGATGAGAGAAAGTGGAACACTTTTCTATTGACTTGTATTCATGTATATCTAGATGTGTCAGAGCTGCTGCGAGTGGTGACCCAGTGTGGCCACCTGGTGGGAGACACCATCGTTCAAGGCAGTGCCACCTCCCACATGGTGCCAGTGGAGCAAGCTGATGGTAAGTGTTGGGATCTTGGTGTGTGTGTGTGTGTGTGTGTGTGTGTGTGTNGTGTGTGTGTTAGAGAGAGGGAGCTGGAGATGAATAGAGTTTAGTCTCCTGATATGAATCACTGGGCGAGTCAGTCTGCTCAGACATGTACGTGTTCTGACAGGTCTGAGTCGCTCATGTGTCTTCATGAAGTTTGGCATTATGAGCTAAATTCAATAATTTGCTGGAATACACATTCTTTGCAGTAAAAGAAAATCATCTTCTTGTTTGCCAAGTGTTGTAAAACCTTGTGTTAGTCTGAATGTCCTGCTGCAGCATTTGCATCGTGCTAAGAAACAGCCTTTAAATGTCTTCAGTGCCCAAGTTCAGCCAAAACATGCACAGTTCCAACATTTGCTAACTTCAAGCAGAAGTAATGTTTGCAGGATTTAATCTCTTGGGAGATGTTAGTAGCCTTTGGAAGACTAAACATGCCCAAATATAACAACGCTCTCTTATTACTGCAACAAATAACAAACAGAGAATTGAAACTGGGTCGGACTGAAGCTGCGTGTGTAGTGTAGCTCAGGAAGTCAATGGGTCGAGAGTTTTGCATGAACCCCTTCTGTTCAACCTGTGAAAAAACATTTTAATATAGAATTTAAAATCCTGTGTCCAGTTTGATGCAAATCAGCTGGATGTCATGTATCTAGAGACGCAGGTCTTCAGCTGCTGCAGAGGTAGTTTTAGTTCCTCTCTTCCTCCTGTGAGCAGCTAGTAGTTGACACTTGGCCTGAGGGGACATCAGTTTAATTAACACTACAGCTGCAGCCACTAGTAGCACCGCTACACACCCGAGTTAACAGAGGACACAACATGGTCATTTTATATGAAACTGAGTGTAAATAATATCAGAATAATAACAGAGCGCAGTAACACATGCATCCTCCTTGTCCTCGTCTGTGTCTCTATCAGCCCTGTCAGAGAGTGTGAAGGCGTGTGGCGCTGAGGCTCTGGCTCTGCTGGGACAGATGAAGCAGCGCGACAGCCTGGCTGCAGCAGACAACAGCAAACTGAAGGCTGCTCTGGAGGCCATCCTGGCCACCGCAGAGGTTTGTGCTCCGGTGCCGAGATGATAAAGTTGCTGTCGCTGTTTCAACCTCAGAATTTGGATCCCAGCGAGAGGCCCTTCTCTTCTGCTGTAATATTTAACTCGAGTCTCTCTGGTGTTTTCAGAAACTGCGTCCTCGGGGCTTGGAGCTGCAGCAGGGGGAGCTGGGAGATCTCGTGGAGCAGGAAATGGCCGCCACTTCCGCTGCTGTGGAGTCAGCTGCTGCCAGGATAGAGGTGCTTAAGTGTGTGTGTGTTTAGATTTGGTCATCTGATGGCAGATGTGTATTTCAATGTACTCGCTGTGTGTGTGAGCGTGTCGTTCTCTGCGTGCTGTGTGAAAACATCGCCCCCTGTTTCATTTCAAAACCGCTTTGACTTCAAAGTGCTTTTTTCTCTCTGTGTTTTCCAACAGGAAATGCTCAACAAGTCTCGAGCAGTTGATACAGGAATCAAGATGGAGGTCAACGAGAGGTAAGAGGCAGATCCCCAGAGACAAACAGAAACATTTCCAGTTCAAAAGTTGGAAAACACACACCACTGTCTTCCCTGTGAAAATATCAGTATTAATGCAGAAGTAGGACGGCTGTGGATCGGTTGGACCGGTTCCTCCAGTCTGCATGCTGAAGTGTCCTTGTGCAGGACAATGAATTTGCCCCTGACGGCATTCAGTGTATGAATGTGTAACATTTTGTGTCTGTGTCTCGTCTGTGTCTACATGAACACAGTAGAGGCCACGTGTACCTGAAACTTGTCACATATGAGCAGAGAGGCAAAAGTGCAACAGGTTCTCAGAGACAAGCTTCTAGTCTGTAGGAGGTGCAGGACTCACCAAACCAGAGAGAGTGCATGGCACCACCAGATGAGATATCTAGGTAACACTGTATGTCTTAAGGAGAGGTCCACAATTTCAACTGTTACTAATGGTGCGTGATAGAAAAAGAGCTGCATGCATTGAATGAATTAGAGTGCCGCACTTTTCTGTTCAAACCCGTTCATTTGCAGACGGTCACACACTGATGTGCAAAGAATTTCATCAGTTCAGCCACAAAGGCAAACTGTGACGTCTGAAGCTGATGTGATGTAATGTCATCATCTCATCTGAAAGTTCTGGACTTTTTCCTGTCATTGTGAACGCGTCTGACTCAGACAATCTCCTGCTGCGTTCTTCACATGTGAAATGCAAAGTCCAGAAAATGTCCAGAGCCACTTTTGAGTTTATGTCTGATAATAAAACCTTCTCCACAAAACATGTTGGCAAGCTCCAGAAACCTCTTGATGACATAATTGGTCAGAAACTTGTTTCTTTGAGCCAAACTTGACCATTAGAGTCATTTGTTGCATGCACATGAATCTGGACTCAACCATCCAGGCCTACATGAATCACTCTGTAGGGTTTAGATTTCACTCTGAGCTGCTTTGTGTACCTCATTCCAATGTGAATGAGCATATCATCTCGTCATTAGTGTTGCATCCTTTCATTTTCAAACCACAAAGACACAGACACTGGTGTATAATTCATTACATCTGTGTGTGTTTGTTGTATTAAGCCAATTAACCAGCACTGCTCTTTCTCATCTCTGCCTCTGATCTAGTTATTAATGCAAAGTGTTGTTTTCTCAATAATTGCTGTGAGAGATAATTATTAAATAAACTAAACTCCTGCAGTACTGTATTCAGGTCACTGACAGTGAGGAGGCTGATCACTTTTGATCTCATTCTTTTCAAATGAAGCAGCTCCATGTTTTTGTTATTTTTTTGGGGGGGGGGAGCTACAAACCTCGAGAACGAGTTGCGTGCAAGTTAATTAAAGCACTACAGCCTTGATGATGTTCTGCGTCCCCGTATGAAATGGAGATATCAGCATCAGCAGCAGCTACAGAAGAGATTCAGCGCTCGTGTGCTCTGCTCTGTCGCCCCCTGCAGGATCTTGGCCTCGTGCACAGAACTGATGCAGGCGATCAAGGAGCTCGTTCTTTCTTCCAAACACCTGCAAAGGGACATCGTGGAGAGCGGAAGGGTGAGTTCTACTTTATGTGACTGTTAACAGTTGTCTCATCAGATTTTCAATCATCTGCCTGATTTCAGCGTAACATCTGACTTAACAGGGATTCTATCACATTTCAAACTCTACAGGTAGAGAGCATAACTTCTAGTCTGTTGTATGTATCTGCTGTATGTTGCATGATCCAAGAGATCTATACAGTTTCCTTTATTTGAAATTAAAATACTGAATATGCAGCCATGAAGAAAATACCTTGATACAATATCAGTATTTACAGTATAATGCAGTGCAATACAACACTTCTGACTCAGACCTCAAAAGCATGTAGTTGAGACTTGGTCAAAAACAAATGTATCTCCACAAATCCTGTATTTATCACAAGATTACTGTTAAATGTACAGACCTGCCTGATTCTCTGTAGAGACTTGTAATTTTTAAGTTTTGTTTTATTAATATTTTATATTTTTGATCAGGACTGATGCTGGTTTTAAAAAAATAGTGAAAATTGAAAGTGACATTTTAAGTTAATATCTATAGTGTTTTATAGTTTAGTTAACATTTTGAAATGTGATGCATCACCAAAAATAACCATGCTCAAAAGTCAGTGTTGTTGCTAATCAGGGACCTATACCAAGATGTGTTATGTGATTTGAACATTAAAATAATAATAATCGACAAATTAAGCGATCAGATCCAACCTCTGTTTTCATGTTGCATTTGAATGTCTCCTCTTTTGTCCACCAGGGGGCAGCCTCCATGAAGGAATTTTATGCTAAGAATTCCCGCTGGACTGAGGGTCTGATCTCTGCCTCCAAAGCAGTGGGATGGGGCGCCACAGTCATGGTGTAAGCACCAGTCGTCCTCTGAGCATCTCTTACTCACATCCACTGTAGAAACATTAGTGGAAACTTGTATTTCAAGATGCATCGATCAGTCTGACTTATTGAATGTGTCGCGTGGTTGCAGGGACGCTGCTGATCTGGTGGTGCAGGGTAAAGGGAAGTTTGAGGAGTTGATGGTGTGTTCACATGAAATAGCTGCCAGCACTGCACAGCTGGTAGCTGCTTCCAAGGTGAGTAAACAATGTGTTGCTGCACGTTTTACTCTCCCAGTGGAGAAAACAGGCAATAGTCCTTTTTTAATCCATAATCAAAGTGAGATAATAGGGGGTGAATGTATACTGGAGATTTACACACAATAACTATGACTGAATGATTTGACAGCATTTTGTAAACTCTAAAAAGTGCTATATAAATAGAGTTTATTATTATTATATTACGAATTAAGTAATGTGGGTAAAAGCAGAAGTCCTATGCTGTGGATGTCATGTCTCTTGTTCTCTGTTTTCCCTCTCTACAGGTGAAAGCAGACAAAGACAGCACCAACTTGCAGCGTCTGCAGCAGGCGTCCCGCGGCGTCACACAGGCCACCGCAGCCGTCGTGGCCTCCACCAAGTCTGGGAAGTCTCAGATTGAAGAAAAAGGTGAGAGAATCGACCTCATAACCAAAGTTCTAATGTTCTACAATAGTTTAAAGTTAATTTAATCAGAATGCACAAGTCCAGTTGTTATATTTTTTACTCTTTCTCTGTTTTACCTATAAAATCAATTTTAGACATTTTATTTGGCTCCATATAAAAGTTCTCTTCTGTGGTTTGTGTTTCCAGACACTATGGATTTCTCCAGCATGACTCTCACACAGATCAAACGACAGGAGATGGATGCACAGGTAAACAGCAGGACTGACACTGAAACATCCTATATCTTAAAATAATATACATCTTAATGAGCCACGGAGCTGAACTGTGAGTTTTATAAAATTTGTTCTAAATCCAGTAGCGAAGCAAAGTAACTCAACTCTGCTTTGGCCCGTAACACTAAAAAATCTTATTTGTACAGATTTGAAAATAAAATGTGATTTTGGCTCATTTAAAAAGAATTAAGTTTCCACTTTAGAATCTAAAGGTTCATTGTGAAGAGTGTGTGTGATTGTCCTCTTCCTATTTCCTCAGGTCTTGGTCCTGGAGCTGGAGACTCGTCTGCAGAAAGAGCGAGAGCGTCTCGGTGAACTGAGGAAGAAGCATTACGAGCTGGCCGGTGTAGCGGAGGGCTGGGGCGAGGGCGGGGAGGGTGAGGACAACTGTGCTATGTATACACCTTAGTAAAAAAAACACATTGTAATAGAACATTTAAAAAAAGACTCAAACCTGTTTTATTTTTCCACAGGCACGGGTTGAGACCAGTCACGTCCCGCTCCCTCGTCCCCTTCCTCGACCATCAGACCGCCTTCTGTCTGCCTCTTTCTATTTATACACACTCTTCTCCGTCTCTTTCTCCCTTGTTTCCTTCTCTTTTCTGTTTGTTTGTTCTCTAAGCCAAATGAAAAGGTGCTTCTTTTCTAAAAAAAACCTGCTTCTCCACCCATGTCCGGAAGCTTCCATCAAAGGACAGCACCAAGGGCTCAGCAGAGGAGGGACGTTGGATGAAATGTACGTCAGGGGGTGGGGGGGGTGAAAAGCCTACAGTGCAGCCTGACTTCACAGCCTCATGTTCCCCCCTCCTCTCGCCCGGGACGGAGACAAGCAGTGATGGAGTTGATCACTTTGGCCGAGTATTTATTGTCTTCTTTTTATTTCTTCTCCTTCCTCCCCCGGTTTTTATTAACAAGGAGTCGCAGCAGAGGCGATGCGAGCAAAGGCGTCAACTCAAGACAACCCGGGATGCACTGCACAAGCTCTGTGTGCTCCCCCTCCCCAGCCCCCAGGTCCAGTTCTCTGAGTAACATAGATGTTATGTATGCTCTCCTGTTGTGCACATCGTGAGGTGCTCTTCCTCTGTCGGCGCGGTTTCAACGTTCTCTTCCTCCCTCGTTCCTTTCCCGTTCTTTTGTCTCACTGTGAGTTATCACCTTGTTAAGTCCGTACCACTTCACGAGCAGGTTCACCGGACTTTCTGCCTTTTCACCACCATTGTAACGACCGTGACTGTTAACCTGAACGCACCCCTCCTTTATTTTAATTTTGTTTGTTTCTTCATATTTTAACAGACGCTTACCCGGAAACTCTTTAAAACAAGAACAGGGAAAAGTAGCACACACGTAACAGTCTTCTCTCTGTGACCTTTTCAGACTGCCAACTACCTCATGCTACATCGCAAGAGGTCAAAGGCAACAGCGGTGCATCATGGGGAGGTCAAATAATTGGGGTTATGTCCTCTTTCCTCAGTTTTCAGACATGACCACAGAGAATTTCCGCACCATTGGTTCTGGATTTTCTCCGGAGTTTGCCTTTCACACATGAACGATTTTCCGTTCAGAAATCTCAAGAGTGATCAAAATGTTGTTGCGGAGTGCAGGGCACCCCTGTCATCCGGACATATTTGTATTCCCTTTTTCCATTTTTGCATCTGTCACGTGTTAGAAACGTCACAAATCCTCTGGAGGATCTCCTGCGGTGTGGGTGGGCTCATTCGATCATTGTCTCGAGATTTACACTGAATGTCAAGTTCCTCTCACTCAGACGTTTGCATTCTCAAATACAGCCCCTCTGGAGATTAGTGCATGTCTGAAAGCAGCTTCGTTAAGGAGAGTAGTGGGAGGAAACCCTGTTTTTTTATGTAGAAAAAAAGCCACAACACTTATAAAGTTTTTATTTCTTCAAGTCTGGCAGAAGATGTCAAATTAAATTGGAGATCTGTTCTCGGTGCGTATTTTTAGTCAAGCAAAGCCACGACGAACCTGTCATAGCAGCAGCAGCTGCTCTGGAGGTGGAGCTGGGATCCAGTCACTTTTAATGAACTGCGAACAGCGTCGTCTCCTGACAGATGGCGAGTATCTGCTCCTCTTTGAGACGTAAGGACCCCGCCAGCAGGACGGCCGTGCTCCCGGTGTGGATGATAATCCTTTTAGGGTTCTGCAGGAGACGGGAGTGTCCGCTCAATCAGATAAATCTTCAGGAAGGAGCAAATGTAAATCCTTTAAAGTTTGACTGTTTCAAATCAAAGTTGAATGTGAGACTTTTATGAATTTGAGGCCACCCAGCTGCACAAGCCTTTATTAATGAAACGTTAAAGATCGACCTGCCTCTTCATAAATCCTGCGGACTGACGGTCGGCTGCAGTTTTATAAATCCTTCACTGACGGCATGCGTTGGCAGCGCCACAGTGGACCCTGAAGAATGCAGTGCACAGACTGCAGTGTTTGAACTTCCTCAAGACCAAGTAGCTGTGTATATAAACTACAAGCCTTTAACTGTTGGAAATAATCGTTTGATTTCTTTTCACGGCATCTCTCCAACTAAAGATTCAGTTTAATTGAATACACGATGGTGCCCAGCAACGCCACACATAACTAATATAAGTCTTTACTTCTTCCGTACCAGGTTTTTATTTAACTGAATTTCCTACTGAGACTGATGAACTGACTTTCAGCCTGTTTCCAGTGGACTGTGAGAAGACTGATCATGCCTTTGTGTAAAAAAACAAAACAAAAAAAACCACGAGATGAGCAGGCATCCTTTTTGAACCCGACACCTTATTTCTATCTTTCTGTTAGATACTGATTCTCTTGGACTCTTTCTCTTTCTCTGTGTCTTAACATACGTAGCTCTGAAGCTCCGCTTTAGCTGTGTAGCTCTAAAAAGTTGTGACACTGGGTATTTTACAGACACTGGTGGAAGAGTATCTGCAAATAATACTTAAAAACACAAAAGAAAGGGTTTAAACAGCTTGTTAACACAGATGGTTGAATCCCAAAATTCTCATTATTAGAGCTCGACTGATACAGATTTTTGGGGGCCTATGTCAATACTCATATTATTGAGTAGAAATTTTATATTTCCATATATAATGTTATATTCCAATTTATTCCTATTGATATAATGGTTTCAAGAATATATGGGTTTCAATATGTCTTTAAAAAGTTGATTCTTAAGATGTTGCTATCAAACCCTCATGACCAAGAGTCTTTTTTCTATTTTACAGTTTAACCCTGAACTTTGTTATAAATAACCATAAATAAAAAGCACACATACAAAACTTGTGAAAATGATTATTTTTTCAATATAAACATCTCTACTGCATTATTTATTCTGTAAAATATACGTTTTGATATCGCCAAACACAAACGTCAATATCAATTTATCGACCAACCGATAAATCAGTCGGGCTCTAATTATCATAATTAGACTATTTGAATTATTTTTCCCATGTGACACCCTCCATCTGCTGCACCAACCTGGTTCAACAAACGTAAGTATTGTTTGCAGTACTGTTGGCTCCAGGTCTTTGTATGTTTAATAATGATTTTAGCTGTGTTCTGTCATTTCTCCAACACACGAGTGAAACAGTAGCTAACCTCATTAGAGACATTTGGAATAATAACAAATTAAAACACCACAGAAGAAGGATTCATCCACTTTTGATGGTATTACAAGTGTCTTGGAAGATGAATGCACCTTGAGTGATTCTTAGTTGTATTTCTTTTGCCCAGATATTCTTTATTAACCTCCCTCTCTCTGTCTGTGTCCCCTCTCTTCTCTCGGGTCTGTGTCTGTAGTCCTACCAGCTCAGCCAGCCTTTCAAACTGCCTCACACTGTAGTCAAAGAGAAACAAATACTCACATAGCAACAGTGGAATATGTCTTTGTATGATATACTAAAACTTTGTTGGTGGGTTTGTTTTTATTTTTTCAGTTTTTGAAAATAAATATTTCAACTTGTTAATACGGACAAATGTGGGACTGTTGTTATTTTCTGCTCCATGTCAGCTGCGTTCATGCGATTGTGAAACATTTGATCGGTGAGACGATTAAACGTCCTTTTCAGATTGTGACATAACAGCTGTTAACAGCCTCTTTCCTGTTTTGTTCCTCTATATTTTTATGCTCCGGCGCTGGCGACAGACCCAGACATTATGTTGTTGGGTTATTGTCTCAGGACAAGAACGCCTTGAGAACATTTTTTCAGAGTTGGTCAGAAGTCAAGGTCTCTGTCACCTCACAAAAAAAACATTTTGTTGCCTTGTGAACGTGAAATCTTAGGAGAACCTTGAAAGAATCCTTTCAAATTTGGCACAAATGTTCACTTGGACTCACAGATTAAGTGATTTGATTTCGGTGGTCAAAGGTCACTGTGACCTCACAAAATGTGTTTTTGGCCTCTCGAACCTGATGCCTTCAGAAAATGTCTTTAAAACATTTTTGAAACTGTTTTTGTTGTCTTTTTGAACATATACAGTAACATCTACACCCATACACATACAAATTACAAGAAGTCCTAATTCGGGGAAATTGAAATGATATCCAGATTATATTCAAAATAGATTTTACAAATGAAGCTGTAACAATGTAAATAGCAGGATGCAGGATTAGTTTTCTCTTGGACTCAAAGATGAATTGATGTTTCAGAGGTCAAAGGTCACAATGACCTCAACACTCACTAGTTGGCAGAGGCATACAATCACTGGATCGTAATTCTACTATTTCCTTTTATTATTGGTGGAAAAGTTTGATATTACACAACAATCACATTGATTAATTACCTCAATATTTGTATTAATCCTTTTACCTGCTAATGCAACATGCAGTGAAAAAACATTGAGGAAATCCAACAAGTTAAATAAGCAGCTGCATCATTTCAGATTGTTTTTTATTTCTGAGATAACTTGTAGAATGATCTTACTAATAACAGTGTTTTTATTATTATAAGTAATGCAGTGTGTTTGTGTGAGAGTGATTGGATAAAAAGTGTGTGTGCTCAGTAATTGTCTTCTACATTGGCCCGTAACCTCAGAGTGAATATAAAATCCTAATGTTTTTGATCGATTTTGTTTGGAGTTGGATTATTTTTCCAGTAAAGTATCGACATGCAAGATTCTAAGTGCTTCGTTGGCATTGAACAGAAAATAAGTTAAATTAGATGCAAAAAAATGCTGCTCCTCCTACACTGGAAACAAAGCAAACACACGCATCCCTCCGCCCACACACACACAATTTGTAAGGCATTGCAGGACTTCTGAGTAAATGAGTCAATGTAATCTGAAACCACTGTGCTGAGATTACAGAAATCCATAATCTGGGCTAAAGTGTGCTCCAGGATCAACCACATCTGATAAGAGTCTTATTTCCTCATTGCTGCAGTGCAACAGAGCCCCACTGAGACAGTAAGATAGCTACTTCAAAGAGTAAGGAGCTAATGTCGTGTTTTCTTGTTTGTCTCCTGTGTTTTTTATTGTTCATCACTCTCACTTAAGTATCAGCTTCACCAAGGTCCAACAGTCCCCGTCACATTTAAATTCACAAGATCCTGATTTTCATTCAACGTGCTCACACTCATAGATATCAGATTTTTGTTAAGATCCTGGGAAATCTGTGAAAATGTCACAAACGATCGCACGATGTTATAGAAAGTGAAAAAACATCCCTGAATCCGCCCCCAGACAGGATCCACACCAACAATGAATGGGTCCTTCCTTGGGTCATGACCGACCCCTTCAGTAGTTCTCCCAGTGAAAACATTACCACGCTAACGGTAATGGCACTAACTACAGCACAAACCTATGCTAAGGCCCAATTCAATCAAGTCTTATAGCTAAGGCCACATTGTTATCTCAGCTAGGAATTGATGCTAGTGACAGGTTTCTCGCTCTGTTAGCATACAGCAGCCGAAAGAAGCCTACCCCAATGAAACTACATTTTAACCTGCTAGATCTGGATTTTTAGTTTGGCATCAAATTGCACACACTCATAAATATCAGTACCTTAAACATCCATGAATTATCCTCTGGGAAATGAATTAATTAACAACAACAAAGACAACACCCTATTTCGTAAAGTTAAAAATAGTGATGAAAAAAATTCCTTTTGCCCGGATTGGTGCCGAAGTTTGTTGGATTCTTTTTTTCCCCATGTCCCATACTTCCACCGAGATTCAGGCTAGTTCAGTAGATTTGCGTTATCCTGCTGATGGACAGACAAACAAACAGACGGGGTGTAAACATAAGCTCCTAGGCCGAGATAATAAACGAGTGAATATTTATCCGACAGAAAAACGTTGTTACGTCACTTAGCGTCACAGTTAACGAGCCACACCTGGTGTCAGGTACACAGACCAGGTGTGAGTCGTTAACAGGAGTCGTCTTCTTCTTCTTCTTCTTCTTCTGTGGTTTAATCCAAACTGACAAACAACTACAAGCTGAGGAACAGTTCAACCACAGAGGCAAGTATTGATTGTTGTGATTTTGGGATCAGTTAAATGCTTTAAGTTAAAAGTTCTTTTCTCAGGGGTTTGCCAAACGTGTTGATTGTGTTTGCAGCAGTAAGACAGTATTCAAAGTGTCAGCCTAGTGGACATCCATAATTCACCAGATTTAAATTGATATGTGATTTGCTTTGCTTGGAAACACTCAACCAACAAACAAGTTCAACCAAGCTATGCTGGGAAGTCGGAGAGTATTAAAATGGTGTCATTTATCTTATCTTATTAACAGGTGCAACAAAAGCAAACAAAGCCCCTGTAGTTTTTGGAAGGGCCAATCAACCAAAATGAGTAAACTGGGTGAGTGTTCTGACGTGGAACTAAATAATCTGGCTCGTAATCTTTTCAAGCTTAAAAAGGAAGAACCAACACCTATGTAAAATATTATCCGTTAAGTCAAATATATAACAAAATACATCAATACAAAGTACTATAAAACAAAAGACTGAGGTGAGTGTAAAAGAAAAATATAAAGTTATACATGTTTCTTTGAAGGAAAAAAAATCAATCAGTTAATTAATTTAAATCACTAATTCATTTTATATTGTTATATGTGAAGAGACAGATTAAATTATTAATGTGTTCTTTATTTAGAATTCGTTTCACATAGCTTTTTCTGAATTGTATTTGAGGAACAACCCAATGACTTTTAGTTTACTGTAACATTTTTAGTGTGTGGATGGGGCAGGTGGCCTGTAAATGTCAACTCCTCACACGACTGGAACAAATGTTTGGCAGTATCATTCACTGCAACAATATCATTATAACATCATTTAGCAGTCTGAGTTTGAGGTTTAGTCAGTTTTGGTGCTACATACTGGGTCATGGGGAAAATTGAGTCTCTAAAATACATTTTGACATCTAATTGGATGTTTTACATCATTTAGGAATCATAACTTTTTCTTCCATTTTGTCATAATGCATGTTAGAATGGAAACACAGCAGAGGCAGCATGGTACCTTACATATTACTCTTCAATGTTGGCTAACTCCTAATTGAGTGAACATCTTGGCGTGTTTGTGTAAATGAGCAGATTTCTGGCCTTGAGCTTCACAACCAGTCAGCACTACTTGTTCTCTTCTCCCTCAGTGCCTACAAATCTCTCAATGTCCTCGTTCAGCAGTGGGCAGGTTAAACCCCCCGATCTGATTTAAGATGTGCTACAGTATGCAGTGGTGCTGTGTTGTTTTGTTCTGCGCTGCTGTTGTGTCACATGGGTAATGTGGTGGGTGGTGCCCATGAGAAAGACACGCTGAGCTATTTATAGTCTCTGCAGTCCTGAGCTGGGCTGTTTTACAGCCGGTCTCCAGGCAGCAGCAGCAGCAGTGTTTCTGTTTGTCTCCCCTCTGCTCTCCAACACAAGCACAACCACACTCACATGTACAACATACATACTTTAAACCAGCGCATACACCGATGGCTACAAGCTGATTGTTCACAGTCTGATGGAAATACCTAACCCTGCACCCTGGTGAATAAATGTGTGACTTTAAACCTGTGACAGATCAACTTTTGATCTATTCTTTGCTGCTAAAACAAAACAAAAAACACAAGACAGGTCAGTGTAATAGTGTCGGTTGCACAATGTCAGGCTTGTGTATCTGTGCAGGACTAAGTCGGGCTGTACAGCTGTTCATGTCAGTGTCCTCTGCACACATGGAGTTTCATCCCGGATCACAACAACTTGCAAAACCTTGTTTTTCCTCGTCTTTCCTGTTTGTGTAATTGTCCTGCTGGAGATTCACATGTGTTGAATTGTTTTTGTATAATTCTTCAGGTAAAAGCCAAATGTATGCATTTTAATGTTAGACTGATGTATCTTGTAACTCTGAATCAAACCAAAGGAAACAGTGTGAATACTTGACCTCTCATTTGTCTTAATACAACTACAAGAAACAGCTTCTATCAAAATAGGAATGTTTACAACTAATGTTCATTTCAAACTTAGAATTCTGGGCACAAGATGTCTCCTTCTTCACTGGAGAGTGAACTGGCATACACAGTGTGTGTGCACTGGAGGCGTTGGATTTCCATGTCCGGTTCATGGACACTGATTTCATTCAGTGGACCTGGACTGACTTCAAAACTGTTGTGATGTCCCAAAGTCCTGCACGCCCTCTTGTCAAGTCAAGTCAAGTTGCACCCAATGGCACTCACTCATAGAGATCGGTCCCCTGAACGTGCCTGATTATTTGTTATTATCAGAGCCATGAATTATTCCCTGGGTAAACAGTTAAAATATTAAAAGATGCCATATCTTAAAGAAAATGCTAAATCCCTGGATCTGCCCCTGATGAGGTTCTGGACCTAAATCTAATGGGTTCTGGTTTGCCTCATGTCCTATCCTTCAACCGAGTTTTATGTAAAATATGTTTAAATGGCCTGTGTTGAAACCATAACCTTCAAAGTAATAATCAAAACAACAAGATGTGCAAAAGTAGTTTCTTTCCTGACTGTCCATCGAGGGAATCCAG